CAGTGTATTAGTTTGAAGATATAGATTTTTATTAACCTCTGCAGTGTATTAGTTTGAAGATATAGATTTTTATTAACCTCTGCAGTGTATTAGTTTGAAGATATAAAATGCATTTTGAGATCCACTGCTTGCCAGCGTTGTCATTCTCTATCCTTTTACTTTCAACTTTATATCTATTTTATGATATTTTTACAATCATATGTGGATAGCAATTAAAGGTTGAACAAGATATATTAAGTTTTCATATCTGTAATGTTCTCACTTGTCATACTGGCGAGCAAGTTACTATTTAAGTTATTTACAACTCTATATAGTTTGAGCCTTGCACTTACATAGATAAACACCTTTGTTAATATTTCAGTTATGCTAACATTGCGCAAATACATACATTGTTCATTAAGCCAGCAGAGCTTAATTATTGTAGTTACTTTTGAAACTTCCACTCATTTACGTTGCTTCTTACAATAGCACCCACCTTCCCCCCAGGTGGCTCAGCGGTAAGTCAATGGGCTTATAACGCTAAAAATCGGGTTTCGATGGGCAGTGGAAAAAATAGCTCATTGTATTGCTTTGTGCTTTACAACAAACAAACAAATCGTACACTCCGAACATAACTGAGAAACCACCAAACATTTACCTGGCGGACTGGCCTTTAATCTTGGTTAATATTTCACCTTAATAATAGGGATAAATAAATGAAATCTTGAAATTGAAAACTTATTTAAAGGGAAAATGCAATCAGCTGAAAATCACTTTCTTGGCCCTTTACGTTTCTCAGTCGATAATTTGAATGCTGCATATATAAGTTTTAGTTTTAAAGACTAGTGTCGGTTTTCGTCACGTGATATAGTACATCGTCCAAAAACATTAGCTGGTAAGCAAGAATATGTTTTAGAATCAAGTCAATTTTACGAATAATTTCTCGGTAATGATGAACTAAATCAAATATTCTCTGGTAACTGAACTGAAATAATAGTTGAAACCCACCAAACCAATGTGATTTTCTCTTTAATCTTTCTTGTTCGACAAAATACGTCTTTTGTAGGATAATTGTATTTTAATGTATGGTGTCATTAGCGCAGTAAAACCTTAGTTTATAAACATACGAACGTAAAAAAGGGCCGATAACAAAGCGTTCATGTAAACATATAAACAGCAATAATAAGAAGCTAGTTACTTTATACAGGAACTTGAGTGTCTGTAAAACCATTGTATATATATATTATTTGTTGTTAAAAAACTGTTTTCAAAATTATTTCTATTTTCATTTACCTTTAAGATAATTTTGATGGTTTGGATTTCGTAACTTATTCATGTATAAAATTATATATATATTGAGTGTTAGTGTTTAGACACTAGTTATTGACTAGAAACTTCTGATATTTAACAGCAAAATAATTGATGATGTGCAAATGGTCAACTGCAATTATTTTGAAAGATTTCAAATTTCAAAATCATCAAAAAGTACGAATAATGTATTAAAATCTTTTAGCTGTTCAACAACAAAATAATTAATGATGATGTGTCAAAAATCAACTGCAATTCTTTGAAAGATGTTAATTAATATAAAATTCGATGATTAATAGTATTTGAGGCTTGAAATAAAACTCAAATCAAGAACATTTAAGATATTTGAACTGAAGGGAAACTTCTCAGCAAGTAAGTATTTCAGCAATAAACCAATAGTTAGTCGGAACGGATTGGGATGACTTATTTCAAATACTTCTAATGTGTTGTTTTCTTTCTGGTTTAACTTTTATGCCTTTTATACCGTTCCCATTTGCTTTTCTGTTACCTAGGGTATTTATGTTTCCAAGAAAATTGTGATTTGTGGGTCAGTTCTCCTGAGTCCTCCAGCAGTTGAGTGCTATAAAGCCAAAACTCTATCTGGCAGATAAACAGATCTAAATCATCGGTGTTACCGAACTTTATGTTTATAAAATACCAGCCGAGACCCAAACGTTTCGTTTAACGAACAGGTTGTTCTGAACACTAGCAAGAATTTGTGTCCTACCTAAAAGAGGTTACCGGCCTTTATCTGCCTAAACAATGGTAAGTTGATTTATCAATTTCTTTTGAAAAATATGAACATAGAAATATTGTGATTTGCTTAATTTCTGGGAACTTAAGTCATCTTCCATGAGTGCATTCAGTAAACAGAAAAGGATACTTGTGTCAGTATAAGGATATTAAAGGATACTTGTGTCAGTATAAGGATATTGTTTATGTCCATCTCCTCCCCAATACTTGATTCTCGGTCTCTCTCCCAAATGCATCCGAAGGAAAGAAAACATTACTAAAGTTATGTTTGACAATATTTCCCAGGTAAAGTTTTAAGAATTTTAAAAACGAATACTAAAATAAATATCGAACTTAAACACTTTTCTGTGTATGTGTTTCAAATCAATCTCTCTTTTTTTCAGTTGGAAATACAGTTTTTTTTTATTTGAATTGTAAAGAATATTAATTAAATTTAGAACTGTGATGTGTTGTGCTTACATTAACTGGCTACGTTACTAGAACCTCTACATTTATACAAAACTCCATTTATTTGCACATGCAAAATAGACTAATCGTGTGATATGGTCAGGTAATTGCTTGAGTAATTGCGAGTATGTAATTATATCATGGTTAGTCAGTAATACAGGGGGTAAAGGATAGGTTATCTCTGACTTTAAAAGGATTTCATCTAGAATGATACTTGTCATCAAGTATAATTTCATTGGCCAGCTGTTCAAGTATAAAAGTATCAGCAGTGGCATTAGAAAGGAAATCGTCTGACAGTAGTGAAACAATTGAGACAATAAATATTTGGCGACAGATCGACGAATTTGCAGGCTTGTAAAGTACAACATACATTGAATAATGCCTTGATTCTTTCAACAGTGGTTAGGTTTCGACTATTTTAACCATTCCAAGCGACAACTAGTCTAAAAATCGTTAATGAAGGAAAGTCTGGGTTCAGCAGTACTTAGAGCGCAAAGTCAGAACCAACTGAAAGCTTATGATGTTATACGATAATTCGTTTTCACCCTTTTCTGAACTCGCAGTAGACTAAAAATATGGAGAAAAACAAACTTTGTGCACTTGGCCCTGCTTTTGTTGAGCTGACAGTGCAAATGGCTGGAGATGGTGTAATGGATTGGGAAACGTTCTCATGGCAAGAGTTGAATCTTTGATTCTTTTAAAAGAATAAATAACTTCCAGATTGTGAGTAAAATATATTTTAGAAAATTCTTTCAAAACATGATACTAGACGAAAAAAATAGAATTTCAAGTGTATTCCTAAGAAAATAACAGCACACTATGTAATTGTATAGAACCTATACCTTTCTGTTGAGCCATTATGATCTAATTTTTTCATCAGTGACGTAGACCGCTTACGTATATTTGTACTCGAATTCCTAGTCCTTGAGTATTAATATAATGAACACGAATTTTAAAGGAAATATATCAAACTTAAGTTAATACGATTCCTATATTAAATGCATTTATTTCTGTTTATTGTAATTAGGCAATTTGATAAGACTAAAATTGTTCAAATACAACGACTTTGGTTGAATAACTGGGCCACATTGTCTTTAGAATGAATGATAAAACTTCTAAGAGATAAAACATATTTGCTAGACGAATAATAATATTATAACATAAACATAATCGTTAGATATGCCTTTGTTTAACTCAAAGAAATATTTTATTTTATGGTTAAACAAGATGGATCATAAAGAAACAAAATCGAACAAAATTCATGTTGTTTTGTACTTGATTAAAACACGGAACACATTTCTTGAGAAATGAAATGATTCGATGTTAAATTGTTCTCTAATAAAGACGATGGAGCACGATAATGCGAAAAATTACATTCAGTTAGCCTTTGCCGTTATATCAACTTTCAAGATGTAATTTTAAAAATACGTAAAACTTTGATGAAGCAAAAACAAAACTGTAAAATAAAATTATCATCCAACATTACTAAGAATCACTTGTTCCTAGGTGGGACAGGGTTAAGTTTACGGAGTTATAAGGCTAAAATTCAGGACTCTATTACCCACCGTAGGCTCAATGTGGCTTTGTTTTAAAACAAACAATCAAGAAACACATTTAGGTTTCAAGTAATGTGAGCCAAACGTTGTTTCAGCATCTCGGAATTTAGTTTAAATACTTTTTCCAATCTTTCTTTTTTGGCTTACTCTTACACAAGAAGCTTGTTATGATATGTTAAATATCAGTGGTCCTCCCTCTAGGTTAAATATTAAAGATGTATTAGTCAATTGTCGTTCTTAACAATGTACAAATATATATAATTTAGCATGTTATAATAAATATTAAACAAAATATAACGTTTAGTTCTTCAACAATCCTTCTCCTCTTTAAATATGAGCTCTCTTGATTGTGTCATATTGTTAGTTAATCAGAATACGTTGTTAAGCCACTTAAAAATATTTGTTTTGACGAAAATATGTTTGTTTGTTGTTGTTGTTTTTTCATAGACAATGAGATCATACAACACGAAACTCTGCAAACTTAACCAACTTGGAAAGGAATGCAGTCAAGTCGATAAAAATAGCATATGCACACGTACAGATGTGACTTACAAAAGTAATGCTTGGTCGCAAAGAACAGAAAAATATTTTATGCCTACATGCGGAGGAACATATTAATATAAATAAATATCCAAATTGAGTGGTTAAAACTAACTAGAAAATAAAAACACTTATTATAAGGTGTAGTTAAAACTCCGGATATTTCTTTGTATAACACAACAGTGATATAAAAAAAACACAAAACTAGCTGATTTTAGAGCTTGCCACACAAACTGGAGAATCGGAACGAATAAAAATCACAAATCTCAAATAATTTTGGAGAAATATTATTTGTAGTATGAGGTTTTATCTTACATCTTCATGAGGAACACAAATTCAACAGCTGTACCTAAGTTAGTTGGCGTTTATTTTCACACAAATAACAAATTTGCTTTTGATTTATCATCAGATAAGTTATTTCGGGAAACAAAGTGTTAACTCTGACCTTTGTACGAAAAGTGTAAGCTAATACTTTATAAACACAATTCATTAGACACAATGTTCACGTAAAACAAACAAAAAGACATTAGAGTTTGTAGTAAAAAATCTGAAGACAGAAATTCCACTCGAAAATATAACTTTACACTTAATAATTGTGATAATGACCATTTTTAAAGTATACAGCAGATTATGATAATGACCCGTCATAAACGTTATCTGTGACTGTGTATAATATAGACTACTGTCACCCACAGAAGTATCCACGGAATATTAAGATAATGATTAGTAATTATCTGTCCAAGTGCAGCATAATTTAATGAAATTAGAAATATAACACAAAAACACTGTAGTATTCTAGGGTTAGATAATTTAATTTATTTGTTACTTTAAAACAGTTTTTCAAAAATTACTAAGTAATAAACCAAAGAACACTGACGTTACAACAAATTAACATTGGCATGTGATTAGAAATAAATTAAAACAAAATAACTTTTTGAGAACCATTCATTTATTTGTAAAATAATTAAAAATGATCTATGACAAGTTTGAAATAATAATTTTAGATAATTTGTTAAACAAACAGAAACTCTACAAACAATATTCCAGTGCGTAACAGTAAACTGAAATGCTGCCGAACAGTGAAATACAAAATGATTAGTAAATATATATTAATTTTAGATTAATGTTTTTGTTATGGTGGGTGAAAGGCTCTATTATTCGTCTATGACTAATGTTACATAACTAACATATGATTTTGTGTTTATGGTTTTTAGTGTTATTTTGAAGTAGGAAATGACAGTTTGTGTAATTTAAGTTAAGCAAACGTATAACAGAGTTGACATTAGGTTGTGCATCTTACAGGAAACCTGCTTTGGGTCTCTGACAGACACTCAAGTGAGAGGTAAGGTTCCCCCTAAATGCTATTTAATATTTCTCATAATTAACCTTGTTTTACATTTGTGACTAAGATATTTTTTTCTCTTGCTTAATTTTGTCTGTACGTGTGACAATGTTTCAACATACTTTTGACAGTTCAAACGTTACTTTTTTTCTGCATGAGTCTGCTAAAGATTTAAAACGGAAAGAGAAAAACCAGTATTTTGCTGTTGCACGCTTTCGTTTTACGTGCACGCGCACTTGAATTTGTCAAGGCCGTAAATGTCAAAAGCGTTATTGTCGACGAAGATACAACTAGCAATCAGATATCACACGTAAAACAATTACTTTCATTCAAAGAGACACATGTAGACATTAAGATAGAAAAGTGACAAATTAAGTTTATTAAAAACAACAACAGCAAAAAAAACAAAAAACAACAACAACAGAGATATTAATGCAAAGGGTGTGCAGAGAAAATATAATCTGGTTTAATTAGTGATTAGCGGAGCGGGCATAACCTAATGGTTAAGCGCCTGAAGTGTGAATCAGATAATTCAAAGTTCGCGCCCAGTTGCTGCAAAAACGCGCTTTGCTCTTTGGGTTCGTGGGTGCACTATAAGAATAAAGTTTAAATTCCACTCTTCAATCACCCAAGGGTGAACGGTGGGTGCTGTTGACTAGCAGCTTTCCCTTTGGCTTTTCAGTTTAAAACTAGGGATAGCTATGCGCAGATGGCCTTTTGTGTTGCTTTCTGCGAAAATTGATAACACAAACTAATAGTAAGAACATAATCAGTTTATTTGTTTTGTTGAATTTCGCGCAAAGTTACTCAAGGGTTATCTGCACTAGCCGTCCTTAATCTTGAAGTCATGGCCTAAAGTAAGAAGATCTAGTCATCACCATACACCACCATCTCTAGGGTTAGTCTTCAATAGTGGGGTTGATCGTCACATTATAATGAACACACGGTTTAAAGGGGCGAATATGTTTGGTGACGAGTTTCGATCCCATGACCCGCAGATTGCCATGTCAGGCCATAACAAGACTAGAGTATTAGTGATAGGAAAGAAAGAGAAGGGAGAAAAAATAATGTTGCGTAACATATTGTTCAAAGAATTGAAAAACGAGGAGAAAAGTATAGGAAAAGGAAATAAACACTGGAAAGAAGAGTTGACTAAGACATGACTAGAAATATGTAAAGTGATAGAGGAGGAAAGCTTAAAAAACATGAGTATCGATATTTTGAACACAATATTAATAAAACGACTATATATTCTTCACTTACCTCCGAAAGAGTAAATTTTCTACGTAATACTTTGTATAAAAACATAAAAATTAGAAGTTCTGGGAAGTAAAGTTTATATTATATTTTAACCACGTTTTTGCTTATTCTCTTATTATTACTTTTTATCCAGTAAAGAACTGTGTGAGAAAATTGTTTGAGAACAATAGCATCAAGGAGCATTAAGTGTATTTTATTGCAATTGACAAATAAGCTTAAAACAATGTTGTTGTGGTTATTTTTAGGTAAAACTGATTTCCGCAGAAGTATCAGAAAAGTACACTTAATAACAGTACGACTAGAAATTTGAAATTTGAATCTGAAAAGCTGATTGAGTTCTAATGTTGTGTGATAAATAAAAAGCTGTAAAAGTTTGAGAAAATCAATACAATTTTTATTCAAATCAAACAAAAATAAAAGGCAGCATTAGTACTTGCACAAACAAGAGAACATTCGTTTCCATCTTCAATATGAATCTTTAGCGAACTAATCATGATCAAAATTCAGATTGAACTTAGAGCAAGTAGTTGCTTTGATTTTGGAAATAAGTTCATATTCTTTCTGTTGCCAGGGCGTAACCAAATGACTGTTTTTCTCTAACAATTTGCTGGTTGTAACATACAAGCATCATCCACTCGGCCATCAGGGGACTATGTAGTTATTGGTTTTTCTAATACTAAGCAGAATATTCTACAACATCCCCTTGGGCAAGTAGACACTATCAGCCATAGCGAACAAAGAAACAAAGCAACCAGAACAATGGATTTCTTGATCATGTGTTTATGCTAAGACTGTATAGGAACTACATTTTTATAAAAAATTCCTATACTACTAAAATCAGGTAGAAAATAAGTGACATGTCTGCACGTGATAATTTCATTCCCTCTTCTGTTTCAGGCTTGTCTTCAAGCCTACAAATAAAAAAGAACCAATATTCTTGGTTAACTTTCCTTTGTTTCTAAGAGCACTACACGCCACATGGACAATACAACTCTTTAACAATGACATACACTTGCTATAACAATACAATACAAGAAAATAACTCTTTAACTATGTATTAAAAAGGTAACATAATACATTATGAAAGAAAATAATAATTAAACGAAAACCATTTAAGCACATTTTAAATGAATTACAGCTCAAATATAAGATATATCCCTTTAACAAAGATTTAAACTGAACCACTATTCAACTGGGGTTAAAAATCGCGTACAATAATACATTATTAGAGTAAAAAGAAAGGCCCTTTAACGATGATCTCAAATGCATTACAACAAAAATAAAATAAAAGAAGACATTTAAACTATAACTTTAAAGCATAACGTGGTATATTTTATGATAAAGAAATAAACCCTTTAATTTCAGATTTTACTAAACATAATACAGAATACAAACACCTTTTGACTTTCGATTAAAATTAAAATACGATATAAAATGTAATACAAAAAATTTCTTTAACAGTGAGAAATACAAATGACGATGATTTCAAAAACTGCATTTTTGTCTAAATATTGTGTTAGACTGCCCCTCTTATATGGGGGACAGAATAAACCATTGTAAAAGTTCTGTTAAAATGTTATCTATGTTTAAGGGTTTTATTCAATTTTTCTTCCATTATTATTTTTAGTTTTTGATTAATTTTCTTAGACTGTTCACTCTTGAAGTTAACAAAGTATCTGTGTATTTTGAATATTTCTTCCCTTATTATTATTTTTAGTTGGTGATTATGTATGTACTTCCTCATTGCGTTTTCTATATTAAAGGGTCATTTGATTTTGTACTTTATTGTAATTTGAATTAAATACGTTTATATATTAATTTTAGTATCTTCTTTCTTCTGCACTCACTAGTGTATGTGGAAGACAGGAGATTAACCTTTCTTGTGGTTTGTATGTATATTTATATACATATATATGTGTGTGTGTGTAATGTCAGTACCTATACTATTTCACGCATGTGAGCGTGGTTAAAATTTTGTATGTGCATACCTTTTTAAAATGCATTTGGCCTCTTTCTTTTGTCTTTTCTCATTTACATATATATGTACTTGAAGTAAGTGTAACTTGTCACTGACCGTTTGCGCACATGTTATTTTAGTATTTTGGTGTTTCTTAATGCTAAGGTATTCCTTTGGAGGGGTATTATAATTTAGTTCGTGTATGATAATGTGCTATGATGATTTCCATCGCATATATCGTACCTCATACATTAGAGGACCAGCTTGTTTAGAATATCAGATTTCATACTGAGGCCATGTACCATAACCACACACAGTCACTGCATTAGAAAATCTGCTTTTTTACAGTCTGATCATGGCACTGTCAAAGTGCTGCCTTCCTGAGTTGTTGCTGGGGGCACTGGGGAACTTCCCCTCACGAAGTAGGACCATATCACTTCCACAGGAAATAGCACTTCCTGTGTGAACCTGATTATATTTTGAAAAGACTTCTTAGATTCGTGTTCCATGTGACAAGTGTTTGTCCTTGTCGGTTCTGTTGGGATTAACAAACTTGGCAAGCATCATCTTGGTAGTCTGTATTACCCATTCTACCAAATCATCAAACTGGGGGTGCTAAGGTGAAGCACGAGTCTTCATCACATCTAACACTTTACACAATGCAACAAACGGTTGGCTGTTGAAATTACCTCCTGATTTGTGTGTATATATTCTGGTACTCTGAATTACGCTAACGCATCATCTACTGTCTGTGATAATGTACTGACTAATGTATAAGCTCCCAAAGCTTTATGAAGTAGTTGAAAACAATGATTATGTATCATTGACCTCTCATAATCTCCAGGATTGCACCAACGATATCCAGGGCTATCCACTGCAGAGGAAATGAAACGGTTCAGTGTTAGATTTTGCCCTGTTTCAGCCAGTTCTTTCCGTAGGTGATACACATTCTACAGTAATCACATCAGCACTGAACATCTCATCTCACTCACGACCAAAAGAACAGTAATAGAGTATTAGTACAAGTATGTGTTACAACTTGATTCTCTCCAGTCCTTGTGTTGTACAAAGTCTGGAGAATTTCTTGCTGAAGAGTTCTGGGGTCTACTGGTTGTATCTGATCGTACAGGAGCCACATGTTATGTGTATCTGCACTATGCTCTTCTACTTAGTGTTGGTTAGGTTCGACCTTCCTGGATAGCAAGGTGTACCAATATGGGGTTAAGATCCTTCAGTTGCTCATCCCAGAGCTCCTGGTGCATTACCTCTGGCATCCATCGATCAAGGGAGCCTTCTATTTCATGATCTGCACTTGCTTTGGTGTAAATGGCTGTGGTTTCAACTCCTGCATGGTGTCCAGCGTCAGGAGATTCCACGAACAGCTACAGACACAGTCTTGCTATGCAACACGCTGGGTCTGTTTACATTTCTATGTTATAGTCATTCAACGTCTTTGTCCAAAATATCACCCCCTTTAAAATTTCAAACGTTTACTAACCATCCCAGCGGAGTTGGGTTCACCCACATGGTGAACTTCCCAACATACAAGTAATGGTTATAGTGTTTCATGAAGACAACAACTGCAAGCAGCTCTTTCTTCGTCATACAGTATCTACATTCAGGATTTATAAGTGAGCATCTAGCATATGCGATTACATATTCTACTCCATCTTGCATTTATGACAACCCTCCTAACCCTTAAAGGAAAGTATGCCACAACATCTTCTCTTACAGAGTACATACCATCTGCAATAGAGAACAAAGATCCACTAGAACAAGGTAA